TCCTCGTTTTCGGAGTCCGACATTGTGCGTGTGTGTGTGTGTGTGTGTGTGTGTGTGTGTGTGTGTGTGTGTGTGTGTGTGTGTGTGTGTGTGTGTACACGTAAGGACCCACTTGTAACCTATTTCATGTGCATGAAAGTGGATTGTGACCTAGTCGCAAATTGTGGCCTATTTTTTGATAGGTCACAATTTTTTAATAGCGTTTTCGTCATCTACAACCCTCATTTACTATGAAAAACCTAACTTCAAAAAATCACACATTTTATGCCACAATAGGGTTTCTTGCATATTGTGTAACATACATGTATGCAACCAACTTGTGGCCTTCTGCAAATATAATTTGCAGCGCCCTCTACAATGGGTATGGTCTGTAAATTGTGGCATGTTTCGTGACGTAGGTAGGTCATAATTCTGGTGAATAAAAAGATACCCATTTAGAGGCATATTTCGCTTTCTGCTATATGTGTGTATTGTCTAGCTTCAGAATTGTGGCATATTTTGTGATGTTAGAAATAACTCATAATTTTGACAAATTAAAAATACATTTGGAAGCACATTTTGCTTGATACTATGTACAAAATCGCTATACTAAAAAAAATTATTACTCGTACAATTAGATTTTTAGTTGTATTGTATTGTAATGTTGCTGTTTCAATTTATAAATAGTAAATAAAAACAATAGGGTTTGGGCGGCGTACCAAAATGTGACCAATTAAAACATTAAAACCATCCATAATCAATAAACATCATTTATTTTTTTGTTATTTTAGCAATGTGATTCTTTACATGATACTTCACATCTTTCCAAGAGCGAGTGGAAAGAATATTGTTACTATGTTTTATGCATTCTTCGCATTTGTTCTTTCCAGGAACAGTTTTTTGTTTTATATCAGTTCTGAAGAATTCTATAACAACTTTTGTTTCTTCTGTGTTCCATAATCTTTTTTTATATATTTTTCTTGTTTGTTTAAAGTCCTTATTTTTTGTGATTTTCTCTTTCTTCTGGTTTTTCTTTTTCTTATGTGTTCGTTCTTTTTCATCATTTTCTTTCTCATACTCATCACCTAGAATGGACGAAAAAACAATCGTTTTATATTTTAAAGTGGCATAATACGTTTTTAAAAGTTCTTTTTTAAAATTGCACGTAACATTTTAAACTTACAGCTAGAAAACGTTTCCTCGACATTTTCTAGGGACTGATTAATAAGTTGGCAATCTTCAGTAGCAACTTCAGTAGAATCTACAAAAAAAAAAAACAGCGCAACATTAAAATTGTACTTAAATTTTATTAAACTTACAGCTAGGAACCGCTTCATCAATATATGTTGGAGGCTGAAACATATTAATCTCATTATGCTGTCTATCCTCAGTGGCAACTTCAGCAGTGTCTTCCTCATCTTCGTCGGATTCTATGTCCCGATCCTCGATATCGGGCAAATCTGTTAATTAAATAAAATATCAAAAATTATGTAAATTTTTTGAATTCTTAATATTTGAAACTCACCGGTTATGGCAATTTCATTCAAAGTTTTTCCTGCGAATTTTTTAACTTCGTCTTTTTCAACAGCCATTAGTATTCTACTAATTTTAATTAATTCTATCGATGAGTCATGTAATCTATAAAAATCCCTATGGACCCGTATGTCATGACCCAAGTGACGTGCTAACCAATCTGTCTCATTTTCACTTAGATTAAATATTTGGGATACCGTGGCAACATATTTTCGTAATTTGGTACTATTTATTAAGTCTGGTCGGACTAGATCAGCTTCAGAGCAGCACATTCTTAAAGAATCGTGACCTCTCAGATGAGACACTGAGCCTCCTCCTGCTGCAAATAAGAATACATTATCTTCTGGAATGTTGACTTTATTTCTAGTTTCCAATAATAACTCTATCGCTTCTTTAACATCATTTGTAAGTAATACTGTAACTATTCTACTTCTTTTTCCTGTTATTTGTACTAGGCTTAAAGAACTTGCAAGTTTTAATTCAAAAGCGGACATTGACTGCTTGTATTCACTAGTCCCAGTCTGAGACCAATTAGGTCTCATTGTATAATTTGTGACCGTCATTTTAGCTGCCTCCCCTGATCTACGTTTATTAAATAAAACTATTTTACAAAGCACATACCGAGCTAATTTTCGCCATTCTTCATATTTAGTAGGTGCTAGTGCCAACGCTTTTTTGTAAAATGCTATTTTATTATTTAGAAAGGTATTCAGTTTTACCAAATCTTCTGTCACAGGCAATAGTTCCACTGAATTAATTTTCTTTATGTGCAGCGTATTCAGAGCATTAGATGAAACTCTAATACTCCATTCTAGATCCATTAATGTCAAAAACGAAGTTAATCTTTGAAGACCTGCCACATCACCTTTTCTTATGCAATATCCTTTTTCTATCGCGACACACTTTCTTAGAGCATGTCCTAGCTTTAACGCTAATGATGGTATGTTGAAATGAGGTCGATTTGTTTCTGTTGAATTAAATTTACATAAGTATTTGATACTAGTCACAATATCATCAAAAAATTCAGGTTTTAGCCAATTAGCCAACCATGGGTTAAGAGGGTTTACTTTTCTAAGCTGAATCAGTAATCTTGCCAATTGTCGCATAGTCTGCCGAATAAGAGTACTTTGTGTTGAATGATACTTTTCAAATTGTAATCTTCCAAATCGATTAATAAGTGAGTCTTGTTTGCATGTCAGAGATATAGTATCGTTTTTAAATTTTGCTATTATATGTTCATAAAATTCTGGATTATCTCTCCCTACTGTTGATGCCATTAATGCATTACTTTCAGATAAAGCATTACTGCTTTTATCATTCGTATTGTTTTCAGAATTTTTGCAACTATATTTCATATGATGCCACAACAATTCTTTTAAGAAAAACCCCAAACATCTTGGACATGGCCCGTACTGAGTATAATTTTTGGTTAAATTTTGATTAGGTTTTCGGACCAAAATAAGTTCTCCCTCTTTTTTTTCAATAACTTCACAGTTATTGTGAAAATCGCCAATCCGTATTAGAACCCCAAATCCATCTCTTCGAGACTTACTTTTTTTTGGCTTTGCCAATAGTGAGGCTACCTCTGGTTCATTACTGTGTTTCTTTTCAAAATGAATAGCCATTTGCTGAATAAATTTGTTACAGAAATAGCAACAATGCACTTTGTCCTTTACTCTTATTCCTAAATCATTTGCAACTGTAGGTTTAACTGTTATTTCGTTGGTGGTTGTCAATTTAGATATTACCGCTGTCTTTTGTACATCACTTTCAATATTTTTTTGTCTATTTACAGTATTTTTTAATTCGGTGGGGAGGCAAGTTAGTGGCAATTCTTTATATGAGTCAGGTGCAATTGGATCATCTATTGGAATAAATTCTTCCGATGTGACTGTAGTATCAGAAGGTAAATATTCTGTACCAGAAGATTGTAATATAGAACTCTCAACAACAGATACACTGCTATCGGTATTACTTTCTCTGCTTCTTGTTAGTTCTTCTGGAGTTAAGTTATTGGTTAAATTATCAACGGTTTTTACACTATTTACACTACTATCGTTTTTTCCAGTTTTTTCTAGGCTATTCTCCTGAGCCGTAGTTGAGTAAAATATATTACCGTCGGTATTCATTTCCATCATATCTTCCATTATAACTATAGGTATGTTATTCAGATCTAGATCACTACAATCGTAATTTTGTATCGTGATATAGTTACATCCCATAATCTCTTTATTTTCTGCAGGTTGTGCTTCATCTAAAAAATTCAAACCATTTTAGAACAAAATTAGAAAAATACGTTAAAAGTTGCTAAATCGATAGTTTATAAGTAAATACATGGTACGGAAATAAGAGTAAATGAATGACAAGGTACATTGTTGCTATTTCTGCGGTAAATTGTGTAGCAAAAAAAAATGTTTAACTCTAGGGCGGATACCCGATTTTTGCCAAAATAGTGAAGTTACTGGAAAAACGAATAATTCATTTTGGTCTGAAAATCCAATTAGAATTTAATTAAATTGTCAAAACACTGAAAATAATACAGAGATCGAAATAGCTTTATCCGAATGTAACGTTTTAATGATATACAACAATAAAAAGAGATAATAAGTATATAATTTTACGAACATATAATAACAAAACTCACATTACAATTTGACAAATATAATAAAACATTAAAATACCCTTATTCTCCGGACTATGCAATTGGCAAGAGAAAGAAAAAAACCTGATTTCTTTTATAATGCCGCTGTTTTTTGTTTTTTTTATTATTGTCGACATAGAAAAAAGATCAAGAAAAGATGATGTGGCGAATATCTTAGATTAACTGTTTTTAATAGTTCTTGAGTGGAGTATTAGAGTGTTACCTAATGATCGAAATATATTGCACATAAAGAAAATGAATGCAATGAAACTGTTTCCCCTGACGGAAGATTGATTGAAACTGAATACCTTTCTAAGTCATAAAATAACATTTAACAGTAATCTTGGGAAATAATACCTACCAATATGAATAATGGAAAAGTTAGCTTTGCATATGCTTTGTAATATAAAATTATTTAATAAACATAGATCAGGCGAAGCAGGTACCATGAAAGTTACAAAACTATATAATGTTGTATTGATCTCGGAGTGGTATAACAAAAAAAAGAGGTATAATACATAATAAATAATGCTGAAGTTCCACAAGATATTCTGGAGAGGGAGAAACATGGTGTCATTAAATCTATTACCTCCCTTGTCCTCCCTAAGGAGGAAAAATTATTTTGTACTAGTACTTAAATGAGGAAGCTAACTCTTATTCTCTATATGGGGAGTAGAAGAAAAATCATTTTTTAAACCCTGCTGTAAAAAGCATAATGCATAAATATCTCTATTCTTACGTACTTGCTACACATAACGTCATCTCCATCTGAGATACATCCATTGTATTTTCATATGTCGGTACTTCTAATCTCAATACCGCATTGTCATTCGTCTTCTGGGACTTATCTATATTCCTATCTATTTCTTGATTTTTACTAGGGTCTTTGAATGACTCTGCCGCATCTAGAAATTTCAAACTGATTTATGCCAAAATTAAAGAAATATGTTACATAAATATAATTTTGTTTTTAATTTTCATAAAAAAATATTCTTGATAAAGCCGAATAAATAATAATGAATGCGTTTATATTAAAAATATCACCAATTTCAAAGATATAACATCTTCAATATATTTCAAAGCATTATGTGTTTGATACAGGTACGTACTATCTCGTGTATATCTAATGGCACTCTTTATTTCAAATGCTGAAGTATTAGTAATGAAATATATTTACAACTTTCAACATTACTCTTAGTTGTTCCATTCACTAATAGAGATCTAATGAAATTTCTACTTAGAACCTTCAGTAGTCCAAAACTGTTTTGAGGGAGTGTCATTATTAAGGCACGAAATCGTACGCTTTTTTTACTCTGTTGTATGTCAAAACTATCAAATTCTTTTATAAATATAAAGAATGACATTATCCTTTGTGTTACATACTTTCTATAGCAAGTGACCTCTCCTTCTGATTTGTACCTTTTGAACTTTCATATTTTGGAATTTGCAATCTTGCCATTACACCCGCATCTTCTAAGCTTCGAGCCAAATTTACAATCCTTGAGGTTCTGTTGCTCATTTTAGCTAAATGTAGTACCTGTATACACATGTACAGTAAAAAATAAAATTTTAACATAGTACTTACGTTATACATATTTGTTACCTACATCTACATTCAGTCCAGTATAATTAATAAAGAAATAAAAATTATCTAATAAATTATAATCAAATGGTCATGGTAAAACTAACTAAAACTAACATAAATTAGATTTTTTTTGCAAAATGATTGAAATTTTGTTTTATTACTAAAAATTTACTTTTATTTACTTAATTTGGAAGCATTATAATGATTGTTTTATTTTACGTACTATTACATATTTAATCTCTATGGTTAAAATGAAATGTAAACATGGTAGACATCACCTTTATTTGTATAAAGAAACATTGATTTTTAATAAAAATAAACAAAAATGTTATTGTAGCTCATCTCCATATATGCATTTCTGAAATTTTAATAACTAAAGTTTAAAGATGAATGGGCCTTGTTAGTAACTCAACCTATATAGCTCTTTAACAACATGCAAATAAAGATATCAAGATGAGTTACACCTCAAGTTACATCTAGTGTTGAAAATGATAGATTGACGTTATAACTTCAAACGTACGTTTACTATTCAGTAAACTTATTAAATTTTGTGGAAGTGTCTATATTATAAATAGATACCTACAAAACGTGAACATAGAAAAATGTATACAGGGTGTTTTCACTTTAAATACAGAATCTGCGGGAATAGATTTATTGCCGAAAAATAAGTAGAGTTTGTTC